AAGGATGTAATTTAGCTTCAACTTTTGACTTTTCTAACCAAAATTTGAGCCTTCTTCTGGTTCTTCTATCTACTAAGGACTTATTCATTTGTTTTTTGTGCCTTCGATATCCGCTTAGCACCCATCATAATGAAATAATTGAAAGCAAACTGTCCAAAGGAAAGCTGCGAAATCTTAGAGGAGCCTCCAATCCTTTGGATCCATCATTGAAAAAAGGGTTGCTAAGTCAACACCAATGTGGGCAGCACATTTTCGATATAATACTATCCATCGATTCGTTCGCATTTTTGGTACAAATATCAAAACATTTACTAAAAAAATATTGGATGGTAAAGGTCTAAAAAAATTGGCCTAATTAAATTAATTACTGCTGATTCCCTGTTATTATAAACATTAAAAATTAATGAAAAGATTTACAGCTGTCTTAGACTTAATTTTCACTTTAATCTAACCATTTCTCCATACGTGTCTATCATCAATTTAATTTCTCACTTGTTCTGGGTGGTCGTGGCATTTGGTGTTATCAAGATCACTAAATTTTAATTTTAGTCAACAAAGTCAAGGAGTAAGTCATATTCAACGATTCAATGGAATGTCATTGTGATTGTTTTGATTAATTTATTTCATTTAAAATATCCTAATTGGGTCCAATATTAGACTTAGTCTATCTATTTTCATGAAACGCTCGTTTCTTTGAATATTTGTTATCACTAGACATTGTATAAAGAAATTATCAAAACATTAAGACAATTTTAATATTCACAAAAATGGTTTGTTTTTTTTCCATGGAAGCCGCCATATTTAAAGGACTGATCATTGTATTAAACAATTATTGGGGAGGTCATGCTTGTTTTAATACAATTGAGATAGAAAAAGTATAAGGATTTTCTTTTTTTTTTTGGGGGGGGGGGGGGTGGGGGTGGGGGTGGGGGGGGGTATTTTCTGATTCACCCCCACACAACAAAAAATGTGGGTGGTGGAGGTGGGGGGGGTAATTTCTGATACACCCCCATCTAACAAAAAATTCATATCTCAAGAACTATTTAACTTAAATTAAAAATAAGTTCACGTCATTGTGCAGTATCGAATACACTTTAATGTGACATCAACGGTTACTGTGAAATCGAAAAAAGGCTTTTTCCATTTTTCACGGTGTACCTCCCCCCTTGAAGAACCTGCGGTCTTCAACACAGTCCTTGCTGAGATTTCCCAGTGTGGATGGACACAGAAAAAAGTGTTACGGAGTGCGCTCTTTTGAAGCGATAGCGCCAAAATTATGGAACAGTTTGCCCCAATCTTTGAGGGGAATTGAAAATGATAAAAAAAAAATCATTTAAGAAACATTTAAAGACTTTACAAAAAATTAAATAGATTTAAGAACATCAGAGCGCTGTGAGCATGCTATAGTAGCATGAACACAAGAGCTATATAAATAGTCAATTCAATTCAATCTTCCACATTAAAGGGAAAAGGGTCAGCGAAAAGTTTCTCTGTGTGTTTTGAAGTCTAAAATCATGTGGTCATATTCTTCCTGTAGCTTTGCAATGGCATCAGTAGACTTACTACTGAATGGTGTGCCCGAATCCATGAGTACTTTGCATGTTGGGAAATTGCAGAGGTTTCTCTAAGAATAATAACGCAAGTTTTGTGCCGAATGCCCTGACCTTGTCGTAGGCAACACCGACAAGCTACCACTGGTCTTGTAACGCCTTGTTGCGTACATTCAGCTCCTGTGTAATGTCGATAAGAAAAGCCAAGTCCACGAGCCATTTGGGATCACTTAGTACAGGAACAATCACGCCATCATTCTCCATGAAGGCTTTCAATATTAAAGCCTGTTCTAACAGTAGCCAGGAGCAGGCGCCATATTTATCAATTCTTGATGCGAAGGAAGATTCTATTGTAGGGAGAATGAATTTTGATTTTTATCGTAGAAAAGGCCTTTTTTACTAAACCCTATTTTGAAAGTGACCAGGCTGACAGGCTCGGAATTTCCCTAACTCGTACACACTAGCGGCAATTTTAATAGGGATTCTTTGATAATGTGTAAGATTGCTACAATTTACACAATTATGGTTGTGCATTTCCCACTAACTTACTTTTTAAAACTTTCTCAAAACCGCACTTTGGCCATGTTTGTTTCATAAATGCTATAAAATAAAAACTTCTAGTCCGATTATAAATAATTTTTACCATTTTAATCTACGTTTAAAACCTACAAAAACATAACAAAAATCAGAATTAGACTGGTCGGTGGGATTAGACTGGTCGGTGGGATTAGACTGGTCGGTGGGATTAGACTGGTCGGTGGGATTGGACTGGTCGGTGGGATTGGACTGGTCGGTGGGATTGGACTGGTCGGTGGGATTGGACTGGTCGGTGGGATTAGACTGGTCGGTGGGATTAGACTGGTCGGTGGGATTAGACTGGTCGGTGGGATTAGACTGGTCGGTGGGATTAGTCTGAAACCATCGCGTAGCGTCACATAATAGATATGAGAATGGGGAAAACGCGCGGGCCGCATTAACACTAAACTTTGCTGTCATGTAGCGGGCGGCAAAATATCGTCTTGCGGGCCGTAAATGGTCTTGCGGGCCGGGAGTTTGGGACCCTGTTGTACATTATAGTCTTTAAGTAAACGAAATACCCGTAACGCCAGTATGTGAAGGCTTTGGGTTGAAACATTTGGCATCATTGGTACTACATTTGTGCGCTTGAAGTTATCTGCCAGCTACATGTTAAATACCATCTGCATGTTAACTACCACCTTCATGTTAACAGCCAGCTACTGTTAACTACTAGCTAGTTGTCAAAAAACAACAACATGCATGTGAAGTACCAGCTTCATGTTAACTACCAGCTACGAGTTAAATACCAGCTTCATGTTAACTACCAGCTACATGTTGACTACCAGCTACGTGTTAACTACCAGCTTCGTGTTAACTACCAGCTACATGTTAATTACCAGCTATATGTTAAATGCCAGCTGTATGTTAACTACCAGCTATAATTGAAAGACCATACTTTTTTATCTTTCACAAATATATATTTTTTTATAAAAGGACACATAATTCTCTCCCTGTCTCTTTCACTCCCCTTTCTCTCTCGGCCTCTCACTCCCTATATTTTTCTCTCTCTTTTTCTCTCTCTTTCTCTCTCTATCTCCATCTGTCTCTCTCTCTCCCTCTCCGTTTCTCCCTCTCAATTTCTCCCTCTCCGTTTCTCTCTCTCTCTCTCCCTTACTTTCAGATGACACTTATTGTTTTATTTACTACTTCAGTTAACAAAATCACCTTACAAATCTGATCATGTCCCGTTCAAGGTTTCAAATCTGATCATGTCCCGTTCAAGGTTTCAAATCTGATCATGTCCCGTTCAAGGTTTCAAATCGATCATGTCCCGTTCAAGGTTTCAAATCTGATCATGTCCCGTTCAAGGTTTCAAATCTGATCATGTCCCGTTCAAGGTTTCAAATCTGATCATGTCCCGTTCAAGGTTTCAAATCTGATCATGTCCCGTTCAAGGTTTCAAATCTGATCATGTCCCGTTCAAGGTTTCAAATC